CAGACCTTGTGACAAGAATAATTGTTCGTTTATTTATACACCAAGGTCAAGAATGAGCGTACATAGTCATGAAAAAAATTGGTTTGCATTTGGAAGATCAAGTACTTTGACACCATTTATACGGGGGTCAAGAATTATAACAACCAATGGGATGATTAAAATTTGAGGAAAAACGAAATTTCGTATAAGCAGTTTCGAGAATAATAAAAAATCACCTTAAAATATATATAATTACATGTACAGATCAACCAGTATTGGTCTGTTGGTTGCGATTCAAAGATCTCACTTGAAATGAAGTAACGTACGTCTGAACGGACATTACGGTAAAACTACACTTTTGTCCCTGTAAACAGATGTCTTACACATACTGGATAAAATAAGTTCTCAATACGCTTTAGCTAAACCGGTTTAAAACTGGTTTAAAGGCAGTGGCAAGTTCAAAGAGTGGCAATACATGTAAGATGGAAAATATTTATTTGGCTGGGATGAATAATATGAGATCATGTTAAATCTTGGTTGAAAAGAAGTAGACAACATCATTGCATATTTCACACTTTTAAACTTAAGGTGGCACAAAACACATCATGGAGATGAAATAGAGATTACTTCATGGAAAATGCGAGCGTACGATTTTTATTCACGAGTCGAGTTTTCTGATACGTATCATCGAGTGAATAAAAATCGTACAAAACGTTTTCCATGCTGTAATGTGTTTATTTCATAGCTACTAAGATTTTTTCGTGTAGTATTTGGTAGACAAATTGCACAAATGGGACGATGAAAAACGTAAAAAATAGTTTAAAAATCACTCAACAACAACTCAGTTAATGAAAGCTTATAAAATTTACAAAACTTACTGTGTTCATCATATATCAATTAAGTCAAATGTCTAGAAGCCTGTCGTTTTGAATTCCTACCTTCTGAGCCATTGTCTTCATTGAACCATTGAGTTTGTTAACGCCAGCAGCGCCGGACTTAAACCAGCCTTTACTTGCGAGTGAGTCTGCCTTTGAAGTGTTGTTGTCTACGGCCAGGCAAAAGAGACCATCGTCTTAATTCATTTCCTCAGGTCTCTTCCTGGCAAAAAAACTTTGTAAACCGCGACAGGGTCTCTTTCAGTTCCGTCGGTCGCAAACATTTTCGGTGGCACAGCTCTGTCATCGCTGTAGACTGATTCAGTTCTAGGTTTTGTCTGTCTTGCATTAAACTCCAATTATACTCCACTCCGCTTGCCGTTTTGTGTAGCTTTACACTCACCAGCACATATCACGATGTCCTTTTCACCCACGGAGTCCAAAGCGAAGAGTGTTGTTTAGCCAGAACGTGTTTAAAAGTGTTTCGGGACTACAAATACCGTGCAAACCCTTGTCGTACTCTTCGCTTGTCAAAGCTACCGATGCGTTGGGTTTATTCCCTTTTCCTTGCTTCTTTAGCCGTTTTTGCTTGTATTGAAGAACTTTCTGGTTTTCCCAAAGACCAAGTCGTTGATTATGCTGGCAGAATAGCCCTTTTTCTTCAAGTGTCGTTCCAAGCTGGCAATTAAGCTTCGAAGCTCGTACTCGGTGCCATCTTTAGTGCGGACGGAGATGATAAATTGGCCAATGTATTCATTCAGCTCAACGGCTGAAATGTCTTCAATTTTCTTAACTTCGTCCTTCGTTTTCAAAAATCTCTCACGCAATCTTACATCTCGTTCAATTTCTTGGGCGGTATTCTTGTTTTCCTGTTCTAAAATAACTGAGCAAACAGAAGCAAACCTTCCCTCGGCCATTTTTCAAAGCATGCGGGGTTTTGTGCAACGGCTCTCGGATGACGTTCTCTTCAGTACGTTCATTCATCATTATTGAAATTTCGTCGTTTGCGTTGCTGATTGGACAAAAGATTTTTTTTTTCACGGTGAAATTTTGTCGTTCGTGCTCCTGGTTGGCTCCATTTAGAATCAGTACGAAGTTTATTCACTATGATTTTCGTGGGTAAACCTCAGTACCTATGAACTAAATGATGATTTCAAACGCCTAATGCCGAGAAAATTTGTGCGCGGTAACGCAGCAAATTGAACCTCTTGTGCTAAGTTAATCTAATCGTTTGTATGTATTTTAATGCTCTTGTCGCAGCTTGTGACACTCGAAGAACTGGCTTGTTTGGCCGAAAGACCTCGACACAATAAGAGCGGATGAACAACACCTACAGGCAAGTCAGCAAAACGCG